CAAACATCACTCTCTTGTGAAGATTCCCCATGTACATGGAAATACACACACACACACACACACACACACACACATCAATCATTATCCATTGCATTTAGTTTATGCTAGAGGCCTCATGCCTGTCCACACTGTATCCTCTGTGACTGAAGTTTGACTCTAAGTATCCAAACCAAAGACCTATTAAGTCTCAAGTCTCAAGTGTTCAATTCTTCAAATATTTTAATAACACGATGCATTAAAATAGGTTGGAAATCTGCAACTTATATCCTTTATCCTTTATTATCAGAAAAATTACAAGTATTCCTATAAATGAGATGCTGGGACAATGTATTATCTTTTACACACATACAAGCTATCCTATAAATAGGACACTGGGCACACATTACATAATGTACAAAAAGTGATTTTCTTTTTTTTTCTAACTTAAATTGTTTTCCTTTTTATTGGGGACATTCTGATTATACATAATAGTGGGATTTGTTATAGTATATTCATATGTGCACACAATAAAGCAGTATGATGTGATCAATTTAAATCCCCCCAGTACCTTCCCTTTCTCTCTCCTCCTTCCTCTTAATCTCCTTCTTTCCTATTGGTCTTCCTTCTATTTTTTTTTTAAATTTGTTCTAGTCAGTTGTATATGACAATAGAATGCATTTGGACATATTGAAAAGTGACTTTTTTGACCCGTTCAACAATTATTTTTGGTGAGAAGGAGCAAAACCTTCAAATAAAAGGTTACATTAGATTTTAGACAGTATGTTGTCATGTCATGATAGCAATTTTCCCATGATATGGCTTGATTTTACATTATCATCATTGTTTAAGAATATGGCCTCTTATCTGAGGCAGATAATATTAGCCTAGGCAACTTAGCGAGACCCTGTCTCACAAAAAAGAGCTAGGGGGTGTGGGTTGGTGGTAGAGCACYCCTTGGTTCAATCCCTAGTACTGAAAACAAAATTTTATAGTATCATGAAAACACAGGTTACAACTTGTCAACAAATAGCCACAAGTAGCAACATATTGGAGTTTAGCAGGAAGCAGTGCAGTACATTCCACATAAGGAAGAAAAAGAAAATGGAACGTGAGTAGACAAGTAGACAGTCTGGGAGTACTAAGTGTTCTTCCTCCCGATGGGTCCTTACTGCATTGTTTTCGGAATGCTAAACAGATGTCTCTTTCCAGCAAATTTATGAGATTTTTGTTTTTGTTTTTGTTCACAGTTTGTGAATAATCCATGCATTTATGATACACATAACAATTATGAACAAAGGCCAATACCAAATTTTACTCTAATGGAAGTGGGATATTTGAAAACCAAAGTATTTTGTTTCTCTACACCACCGAGTTGTTTTAGGCACCCATTATTTTTGGTTGAGACACATTGACCTTGCTCTTCCTTTTTTCTATTGTTGAACTTTGCCAAGTGATTCCACTGTCTCATCATTCATTCCAACACATTTACTATCTAACCATTTTACAATGAGAATTTCATTATTTGTATCAAACCTGCAATCATAGGAATCTCGTTTGCTTTTACATCCATGTTGTCAGTTTCAGAGGACATTTTTTTAGTCCATTTTTTCCTCATTATACCTATAGCTTTGAATCCAATATTTCAAAGGTTTACTGACAAGTAAATCATAACCGTGAATAGATTGTTGAAAAAAGCAGTGTGAGATTGTGAATTCCCTACCACTTCAAGCATTGCTGCCCAGCTAAAGATCATTGTTGGATCCTTCTTGAGTACTTTTCCCACAAAACAAGTTAGAGTCATAGCAATATCTCAATACTCTGCACATTGCCCAGAATTTATAACCAAATTTTATGGCTTTCCCACTTATAAATTGTTTCAGTGGATTGTGGCTATAATAGCTGATAATCAAAATCACTTCATATATTGTTACACATTCTTCAAATATGCCAAATTCATGTCTGACTTTTGAATCATATTTATTAGACAATGACTTTTAAAAACTTTATCTTCAATAATCTCTCTCTCTCTTTTTTAGTACTGGGGATTGAATCCAGGGGCGCTTTACCACTGAGCTAAGTCCCCAGCCCTTTTTTATTTTTTATTTTGAGACAAGATTTCTCTAGGTTGCTTAGGGCCTTGCTAAATTGTTGAGACTGGCCTCAAGTTGCCAGGATTACAGGCATGTGCCATTGTGCCATGCTTCAATGGCCTCTTGCTATTCATTATCATTATAAAAATGTATGATATTTTTAGCTCCTGAAAATTATTTCTGGACATTGCATTTTTGATGACATATCCAAATCTTCATCATTTGACTTTTAGTTTCTTATGGAAGGTAGTTTATGATAACCTGGAAATGTACGAATTCCAAAAAAATGTTTTTAACTCATCTACACTGAGTACTCAGATGTATTCTTACTTTCTTCAGAAAAAACATACAGTTTCTTTTACAATATGATATATGTTTCAGGTGTCAATATTTCTTTAAAAATCTCCACTGGGCTGGGGTTGTGACTCAGAGGTAGAGCGCTCACCTACCATGAGTGAGGCACTGGGTTCGATCCTCAGCACCACATAAATATAAAATAAAAAGATATTGTGTCCACCTATAACATATATATATATATATATATATCTCCACTGGATTTGAATATAGCAGGTAATTCCCATTTTTCTCAAGCCCTCAGCATAAATGTTTTCTTGAATATCTCTAGAGTATTTTGGAGTTGTTGCTCTTCAAATAGTTATGGAATCACAAACTTCTAGCTTCTTATCTAGTGATGTCTGCCTTGTTTTCTGCCCCCCCCCCCACCGCCCCTGAGAATAGATAGGAATATCAGTAGTGAAAACATCAACATCTTCCCTCTCATTCATACTTTCTATTTCTGCATTTTGGTTAGATGTTTCAGTATGTAATTCCAGAGGACCTGAAACATCTTTCACTATTGAGTCATTGGATTTGTCGTCGGTTTTACCATTATCCGTTATATTTTTTATGTCCGGTGGGATAATTATGCCAGCTGCTTCAATATTCTTGTCTTCAGAACATTCATCCAACAGACTCTCAATTTCTTCTGGGATTAGTGTTTGAATATGTTTGCTTGACATCCACAGCAAGATGAAGTACAAAAAAAATATCTAATGAACCACAAAATATTCATTCAAATTATATCACATTTTTCTGTGTATTTCTAGAATACAAATAAATACTATATATTATGGTCATAATTATTTATATGACACTTTATTACAATCTTCAAAGAATCTGTTCCACAGTCTCATCTGCTTTTGATGAGTGCACAATAATGAGTACAAGAACTCTTTAGAAAAAACATGAAAACACAGGTTACAACTTGTCAACAAATAGCCACAAGTAGCAACATATTGGAGTTTAGCAGGAAGCAGTGCAGTACATTCCACATAAGGAAGAAAAAGAAAATGGAACGTGAGTAGACAAGTAGAAATATCCATCTATGCATCCAATGTACTTTTGGTTACAGCATAGCACACAAAATATTGTTTACTTATATATCTGGCTTGAGACTATTTCTCAAAGTCAGTGTACTAGCCAGGGCCTCAGCAGAAAAATAATGGCATACAAGGGGTGTTTCAAGGGAATGAAAGAAGGAACTTTTACAAAGTGAGTGCCAAGCAGCAGAAGTTGTGGCTCTGGATAGAGATTTGGCCTTAGCCAATCTGCAGCCTGTTACACAGGCTTATGGAGAATAAATACCATGACCTCCTCTCTCATTTCTGGCAGTGCCTTCCATTGGGCAAGTCCAACATGAAACTAGAGGGAAAACAAAGCCCTGTTTACTTGGCCGTTAGAGATTAGTCTCTTAAATCTCAAGGCAGGGTTGAGGCGGGCAAAGATTAATTTTGATGTACAGAAAATAATGAGGGCAGGTGTCATTTCTGCCGCCCACAATATTCAGGGAGTACACTGCACATTACTATACAATATAAATTGTCCCATTTATAGGACATCTATTTTCCACCATTGATAATTGGAAATTACAGTGCTTCCTCAAAATAAAATGACAACCTAGTCCTAGATTATACTTTCATGGATGCACTTCTTAAATATTACACATAAGTTATGTAATATTTTGTTCAGTTGAACATTTAGAAGTAACTTTTGCAGCCAAGTTTATGCCATTTTTTACAATGAATTTAAAAATATTTTCAATTGCTCTAATCATTCATCTATTACTTTTCTCAAAAGAATAGGCCTCTAAAAATAAAATTGTCATTTTTAAAGTTACTATTAAGTGGTATATTTGTTGCTCAATTTAAGTTTTTATAGGTGTCAGACATCTGCGAGGATGGGACAAAATGGATCAAAGTCTAACGCTGGAGCCTTAGAGATCAAGGATAGGAACAAAATGGAAATTGCAGACGTTCTCCACTGGGGAATGGGCGGCCCAGGCTGCGTGGGACGGTCGTTAAGCCTTCCTGAAGCCTGGAAGGTCTTCCTGTCCCAGCGACTGTAGCAAGTCGCTAGGGTTTCAGGGAGACCAAGGGCAATTCTTAGGCGGTAGCACTGCAGTCTCACGCAGGACCAAGCCAAATTCTGTGCAAACTCCCTTAGAGTTCAAAGGGGTCTGGGTTATCCTGTGTTTCTCATTTTAATTTTTGCCAGGGAGGACTTTGGCGTTCTCTTGCAAAACACAGGGGCGCCTGTGAGTCTGAGCCAGGATGCGCAAGGGACGGACAACTAAGTCCTTGACCACCAGAGGTGAGCACTGGAGCCGGCAGGTGTCTGCAGGAAGTAGGTCGCTGCCTTTGCTCACCCCCCCTAGGCCCCTCCTTCCACGTGGACCCCGCCCCTAGTGGGCGTGACTGTCGAGCGCCCGAGGGCTCCTCCCCAGAGGGCGGAGCCGGGGGAGGGGTCTGTGAGAGGGTCTGGTCCAGCGGGCGGAGCCGAGCGCCTGGAGGCCGGCGGGGGAGGCGCCACATCCGGAGGTGCTGGGTACTGCATAAAGCCGCGGCCGCGGCAGTTTGCCTCCGACAGCAGATCTGGGCTATTCTCGGCTACAGGAGCAGCTGCTCCAATGCCCCAGAGCGGCCATGGGCGCCCCGCACTGGTGGGACCAGCTGCGGGCTGGTAGCTCGGAGGTGGACTGGTGCGAGGACAACTACACCATCGTGCCTGCCATCGCCGAGTTCTACAATACGGTGCGGGTCGCGGGAGAGGGGATGGCAGGAGGGCCGGCGGGAGGGGGCTGTCCCCATGCGCCGCAGCGCCTGGAAGCTGGACGTTCGCTGTGTGTATAGGAGCCATTCTCGTTCCAGGGCCAGAGTTGATCCACGCCCCCTCCTTTGAGCGCTCCTTCCAGTTCTTGGTCTGTACTCCTCTTCTGTCCCTAATCTCGACATCTGGAATCCTCCTCCTCCTCCTCCTCCTCCTTCTGTCATTTCCTTCTGATGGCTCTATTGTCTTGTTTGGTCTCCATACGTCCCGGAGCCTGGAGTCCTTGTCCGTCCATTCTCCCAGTTTGGGTCAGTTGGGGGCGGTGAATCCCCTGGGAAACTCCCTTCCTCCCCTAGGATCTCTGTGGCGTGACGCACTTGGGTCGCATTGTGCGTTTTTGCCCTGAATACCTGCTTTCGGAGCACTGGGAAAGGGGAAGTCCCCGGCAGGTCTTAGGGGCTGGACTCTCCCACCACGCTGATTTGTCCCGCCCCCAAGAATATGGCAATCATGGTCGATTTTATTTTTGTCCAGAATCAGGTTAATTACTACAAGTTCTTTTTTCTTCCCTTTAATATTCCTACTCTTGTGCCAGCTCCAAATTCATCTCCCTCAGGCCTGTGCTTTTTCCAGTTCTTAAGTCTAGGTGTCAAAGAGAAGTTTGGAAATGATAGCATGTGGATTTTCTGGACTTGCCTGGGTCCCTAGATAGGGGCAAACAGAAACTTCTCCAATGCAGAATCCCGGGATTTCAGTCGTTGTGGGAGTGAAAAGTTGTCTCTGGAAGAGGAAATGCCTCTGTTTTTCTCTGTCCCTGTGGCTCATGATTCTGGTACCAAATGTAGGACTTTGCTCGGTCATTTCTGTATCTTATCTTTTCACTGCCCGAACACAAAAAACAGGAACTGTGGATTTGAGTCATTGTGAATTTGAGGTTGTTATTTAGGATTTTTCCCCTTGGATTTGCCATAGAAAATGTCCTTGGCAGGAGTCAGGTGCTTATTGCCTGGACAATTCTCTAGTCCCTGTCTTTTTATTCCTAAGACCAGAAAAACAGGCTCTTGAGAGAGCTGTCATCCCCACATTGTGGTATGTCTAGGGTCACAATCCAGAAGTCTTGACTCTCCCTTCAGTACTGAAATTCATGGCAGCCTTCCACACCAGCACTCTTCTTCCTCCTTCTCCTCCTCCTCCTCCTCCTCTTCCTCTTCCTCCTCCTCCTCCATCTCCTCCATCTTCTCCATTTCCTCCATCTCCTCCATCTTCTCCTCCTCCTCCTCCATCTCCTTCATCTCCTCCTCCTCCACCACCAATTCTTCCTCCTTCCAGTCCTTTGGATTGAACCCAGGGTCACTCTACCACTGAGCAAAAAGTTCTTTTGAGACAAGGTCTGCCTAAGTTGTCCAGACTGGCCTGAAACTTGCAGTTGTCCTGCCTTAGCCTCCCAAGTAGCTGGGGTTACAGGCATGCATGGTACCCAGCCCCCTTCTATTTATATGACCAGGTGAGTTGCTCAAGGAAACTAGGCCCTCTGTTGTTCAGAGATACCCTGAAAAAATGCAGTTAGTGGAAGAAGCCACACTATCCCTATTATAAAACCGGGTGGAGCATGCTATCAGGTATATACAGGTGCTCACAGAGGATGGGCTGGAGTAGGTCTGGACATTTTCAACAAGGAAAAACACCAGTAGTAACTGATGTCTCCAATTTTAAGTGAAAAATACTGGGAAATACTAAGGATTTCACCAGGATTAAGGAAGAAATGACAGATGGATAATAGGTTTTTACACATCCTGCATGGTAATTATCTGTGGAGTCTGAGGTCTTCAGAGAGTGTCAAGCCTGGTTATTTAGGCCAAAAAAAGTTAATGCATAAGTGTGCTGAGCCCACCTTGAACAACCCAGTCCAAGACTACTGGATGAGAGGACATCTTGTCTTTACTTTTAACCTTCTCCTGTTAGAGCTGTTACCACATAGTGAGTGTCAAAAGCTTTTCTTTTTTTCCTTTTTCTTTTTTTAAAATATTTTTTTAGTTGTCAATGGACCTTTATTTTATTTATTGAAATATGGTGCTGAGAATCGAACCCAGTGCCTCACACATGCTAGGCAGGCACTCTGCCACTGAGCCACAACCCCAGCCCTTGAAGGCTTTTTTTAAAGAAATGAACCATTGATGTTCAAATACAGTGTATGTGGCTGATTAGGCCAGCAGATACATACGATAGRCCTATTATTTATTTTATTTTATTTTTGGTACTGGGAAACTTAACCACTGAGACAAATCTCTAGCCCTTTTTATTTTTTATTTTGAGACAGGGTCTCATGAAGTTGCTTAGGGTCTTGCTAAGTTGCTGAGGCTGGCTTTGAACTTGCAATCCTCCTGCCTCAGCTTCCTGAGTCATTGAGATTGCAGGCAAGTACCACTACACCTGGAAACCTTATTTTTTAGAATATTTATAAACCACAAAATTTGCTCTGGCAATGTGGAGAATATTCTATTCTCAGAGAAGAAATTGATCACCTGACTATTGAATGTAGATTTGAAGAATTTAGCAAAATCTCTCTTCCTCTGTGCTCCCAGGGCTCTACTTATCTTCTGATGCTATCACAGGACACACCTGAGCTTATCTTACTCTTATATTGTGATAAACATTTTGTTTGATAAATAACTTGTTGATAAACATCTCCTTCAATTCTAATAATAAGAAAACAGGTCTAATTATTTATTTTATAAGAAACTAATCATTACCAATTTTGAGAAAAAGTTAAAGGAATTGATGTCAAATCAGGAGAAGACTGGGAAAGGGATTTAGAACCTTCTTAATGGGTCTTAAGGGAATCATGACACTCGTACAAGTTCAGTTATACTGGCTACTGTGAGTTATTTGCCATGTGTTGAAGCTCTGCTATGTACTCTATACTCACTCTAGGCAGTGGGTGCTACTTTTTATATGCACTTGATAGAGGAGGACATTAGGGCATACACAACTTATGTAGGTTGATGAAGCCAAGAAAATGGAAGAGGTGGAGTTAGAACTTGGTCATATGGACTATCTACCTAGAGAGATCTCTTAAAGTATAAATGCCACTGTAAGTACCTTTTGTCATACTATAGATATTTATTATTCAGTTATTCTTTAACTTAAAACTCCTGTACTGGGACCATCTTGTCCATAGATAAAACTCATGATGTGAAAAAAAAAATTGTTTAAAATAGTTTTTGGTATTGTTGTTTATTATAAAAGTAATAACACAATACATGGTAAAAAAAAAAAAAAAAAAACTCGAGTACAGAGCTCTAAAGTAAAAAATTCCCTCTCTCCTGTATCTTTCCAGACATTTCTTAGGCATGTATTTGTGTGTTTATGTAAAATATGTATGTATAGTGCATTCTCAAACACTCAAAACTTTTTGTTTTTCAACCCAATCAAGATTACACTATCCAAAACCTTCTACATCTTGCTTATTGCACTAAATATGTCTTGGGGATGGTTGCATATCAACTCAGATAGAGATGCCTTCCTCTTACAATGTCCGTATATTTTCCCATTTAATGGATTGGCCATAAGTCATTTAACCAGTCAACCCCATATCAATGAACATTTAGAGCAGTTTGTTTGTTTTATTGTTTTCATTTTGGTTTTTGAAGAGTCATGCAGTGAATATCCTCATATCTGCATCTGGATGCACTTTTAAAAGTCCTAATTTTAGTTGAGTTGCTGTGTGAAGGAGATTGTTCACTTTAAATACTGATTATTGTTGCTAAATGGCCCACTAAAGAGACTCCATTGATGTAACTTCCACAAACAGTGTTTGACTATTGCCTCAGATCTTTTCATTATCCTTTGTTTCAGCCAAGAACGAATATCTCTTCCAAGAACACATCATTTCCTTTCATAGCATTTTACTTATTCGCCTTTGAACTGTTTTTTTCCACATACAGATATTTTTTAATATTTATTTTTTAGTTGTAGGTGGACACAATATTTTTATTTCATTTTTATGTGCTGGGGATCGAACCCAGTGCCTCACAAGTGCTAGGCGAGTGCTCTATCACTGAGCCATAGCCCAGCCCTCCACATTTGAGTTTCTTTTTATGTTTTAAGCTTTAAGGCCCCACTCACATAGATGAACCACTTTGGAGAAAGGTGGAGTCTGTCTTTTAACCACTGGACTTGGCCTTTGGAGACTCTTTTGGGCAGAAACTCAGGCAACAGAAGGAAATTACTGGTGCTGAAAAAGTCTCACAGCATATAGGCTCATGCATAAAATCAGCCCATGATCTCTTACCTATCTCTCCAGTCCCCCAAAATCTTCAACAAAGTATGTGCTTTCTTTACATGCCCAAGTCCATGACCCACCGTCTGTAGGGCAGAACCTGTCTGCCTGTCTGTTTATCTAAGCATTTAGATACTATTTAGCATTTAGATGGGTACACTAATATGGGCCTGTCACAGAGACCAGATCTGGAAAATGTCATCTGGGTAGTGAGGGCCATAACATAACAGTGGTGTGTGCAGTTTGTTGAGGGTGTTGTTAGCACTCTGCATGGGGTTAGCACTAGTGGGCTGGGGTAGAGGGTTTTTGCAAGAAGCCTTCTGAGTTGGGTGACCAAACTCATCCTGGGTTTTGTTTGAAACTTTCCTGATTTTCAAACTGAAAGTCCTATGCCCTGGGAACCCCTTTCAGTGTCAGGCAAACTAGGACAATTGGTCACGCCAGAAGCAGGAGTGGGATGGTAGAATGGAGAGTTAGTGATCGACACACAATCACGATGCACAATTTACTCAAGCAGGGAAAAAGTCCTTAGCTGTTTATGAAACTACTGTTCAGAAAGTTTCCACCCTGTGGTTTTGCTAGTATGTACCCTTTTTCTGGGAAAGTGCACATTTCGACGTCTCAGGATGAGATTGCAGTGTGTTCTTGAGATTATTTTGGAGCACATGTTATGTTGGAATTCATAAAATGAGGAATTTTTAAAGGAAATAATTAATACATTTTGAAGTTGTGCTTTTCCTTTAATTAAAAAAAAAATCTGAAAAAAAAAAATCTGCAAGCATTAAACAAACCAGTTCCCCAAAGGATAATCCAGTAATAAGCTTTAAAAATGTGCTCTGACCGAAATATTCTACAGCTTCAGTGACCTGCAGAGTTTTGAAGGAAAGTTCATTTCTCAGTAGAGATGGAGCCACTGAGTCTCTTTTAACTATGACTCATTTACTTTTCTACATTTCTTTTAGCACTCCTTCCTCTTTTTGTTTTGAGGAGAATCTCTCTTGAATTTGGTCTTTTCCTTTACAAACATTGCTGTCTTCAAGAGGGACAGTAGCAGCCAGCAGGCCTTGGTAGATGGGCTTTGCAGAAGCATTGGTGTGATTTCAATATATTAGACTAGTGCTCTGAATGGAGCTATAATATGTGCATTTAAAAATGATGTTAAAGCTGGGCAAAGTAGTGCATGCCTGTAATCCCAGCGGCTCCAGCGCCTGAGGCAGGAGAATCACGAGTTCAAAGCCAGCCTCAGCAAAAATGAGGCACTAAGCAACTCAGTGAGACCCTGTCTCTAAATAAAATACAAAAGAGGGTTAGGGATGTGGCTCAGTGGTCAAGTGCCTCTGAGTTCAATCCCCAGTACCTACCTCCCCAAAATGATGTTAAAGTGCTGAGGACGATGGCGCATGCCTTTAATTCCAGTTTACTCAGGAGGCTAAGGCAGGAGGATTGCAAGTTCTAGGCCAGCCACAGCAACTTTGTGAGATCCTGTCTCAAAATAAAAAATAAAAAGTAACTCAGTGATAGAGTGACACTGGGTTCAATACCTAGTACCGGAGGAAAAAAGTTGTTGAAGTGTCTTATTATACTGCAGATATAGTAAATGACTTCATGCCTTCTTGAATACTATATACATATATTTAAAAGTGATTAATGTATGAATTGCTGGTGGTAATATAAATTGGTAGAGTCATTTGGGCGACAAGTTGGCAGTAGATATCTATCCTTACTTGAAACAAAGGAGATTGAAGCAATGAAGATATACTGGGGTTAAAGTCAAAATATATTTTCTAACATTGTAGGTGGGACTGCAAGTTGGTGCTCCTTCCTCTGGAAAATGGCTAAATAAACTGTAGCCATATGCAGGACTTGGAATAAGTGAGCTAAATCTGCATTTACTGGGGCTGGGGATGTGGCTCAAGCGGTAGCCCGCTCGCCTGGCATGCTTGCGGCCCGGGTTTGATCCTCAGCACCACATACAAACAAAGATGTTGTGTCCGCCAAAACTAAAAAAAAAAAATAAATAAATATTAAAAAGTTTCTCTCTCTCTCTCTTTAAAAAAAAAATGTGCATTTACTAAGATGAAAGGTTTGCAAGGCATATTGTCGAATGAGAAAATAATGCCGCAGAATGATAATGTTAGAATAAGTGATATATATATATATATATATATATATATATATATATATATATATTCATTTAAATGCAAAAAAAATGACTTGAAGACTATGAATATAGAACATTGGTTACCTCTGGGGAGCAAAGTAGAAACAAGACTTCTGGTCTGTAACATATTTTTTTATTTTTATATTTTTTCTCAAAAGGAGAACTCATTCATGCATAGGAAGGGAGAAATTTTACCTATGGTATAATGATTCCAGTTTTCTTTTCCCTTTTTGTCTCTGCTCCCATCTTTTTCTCTCTGTCCCCATCTTTTTCTCCCCTTGTCTCCTTTTCTTCCTTCTATTTCTATGTTTAGCAAAAGAAAGCCTTGCTTTAAATCATGTAATGGGTCATATGTGCAGATTGTATGATGCAATTTGCAATGTTAAGATATCCGTTGAAGGCTGGGGTTGTGGCTCAGTGGTAGAGCACTTGCCTAGCATGCATGAGGCACTGGGTTTGATCCCCAGCACCATATAAAAATAAATAAAAAATAAGCAAAATAAAGGTGTTTAAAAAATGACACCATGTTAAAAAAAAAAAAAGATATCAATTGAAAAGAGAAGGCTAGGAGTTCAGAATGTGGATGGGTGGGTTGAAGGTGGAAGTCAGGGTGATGCAATGGGAGGAGCCAGATGGCTGCCCCAGCTCTGGGTGATTGTCTCTCTGACCTTGGTCACTCTTGGAGCCTTTCTGGGCCTCAGTTGTATCCCCTTTTAAAGCAAGGGGTGGCTTTGAAGTCCCTTCATTTTAACCCACAAATATCTCTGCTCTTTTAAATGGTTCCATTGAAAATTAAAGATTATGATCGCCACAAAGAAAGCAAATGTACTGTGTATACAGTATGTCAACCTTTGCCCTGATTCTTCCTTCCTTCCTTATTGGCAAATTAAAACTGGCTTATTTCCAAGACTGAAAGTCTCAGTGTTGGGAATCCAACCTAGGGCCTTGTCTGTGCCAGGCAAGTGCTGGACCACTGAGCTACACCCACCCCTCAGTCCTAGATTTTAACTATAGGCAGTAACCCTGCCCCTATCCTGCCTCGACAAAGGATTTTGTATTTCTCTTGGATTGTTTTATTTCTCTTCTACTCTTTCTTTCCTTTCTAAATACTGTGTCACACACAGAAGGTGCTGGCTTCTGAGTTCTGGGGTTTGCTGAAACATTTAACTTAGTTGTGCACCATTGTGATTCCCCACCCCCAGGAACACCCTCTGCCTGCCTTGCCCCTACAGCTCAGGCTAGGAGCCCACCCTCATGGTTCTTTTGAGGTGTCCTCTAATGGCTTTCCTGTATCATCCAACATGGATGACTACTCCTTTCTTCTGAAAGCCTTTGAGCCTGGGCTTCCCAGACTTCATCTGCCCATCTCTGAAACCTTCTTTTTTCTTAAAATATTGTTCCATGAACCCTCCTACTCCATCCCCATCGATAATGCTCATTTTGACTCAGCTGTTGTCTTCACCCCCGTATGCACTTCTGTGGGCAGAGTCCCAGGCAAGGCCCTCCTCATTCTGCAATTAGATGAGCTTCAGTCACTGAGTATTCCTACCTCTGCTCACCTTCCAAGATGGCCTTAGTTTAAAAACAAAAACCAGAGTATAACAAGTGTTAGGCAAGGCTAGGTAGGCCCTCGTGTATTGCTGGTGGGAATGTAAAAAAAACAAAGCAAAACACAACAGAACCACGCACACAAAAACAAAACCCACCTGCTGGAGGAAATAGTTTTGTAATTCCGTAATCAATTGAACATAGAATTACTCAGTGCCTGGGTCTGTTCTTGCTGTTATCACAAAATATCTTAAACTGGGTAATTTATAGCAACAGAAATTTATTTCTCACAGTCCTGGAGGCTGGGAAGTCCAAGATCAGGATACTAAAGATTTGTTGTCTGGAAAGGGTTCTCTGCTTCATGGATGTGACTTCCTGCAGTCCTCATGTGGTGGAAGGGGTGGGCAACTCCTGGGCACCTCTTTTCTAAGAGTGCTAATCCTATTCCAGAGGCTCTGCTCTCATGACTTTGGCCTTAAAAACATCATGCTAAGTGAAAGAATCCAGACACAAAAGGTCACACAGTGTGTAATTCCATAAATCTGAAATATCTAGAATAAGTAAATCCACAGAACAAAAGCAGATTAGTGGTTGCCAGGGGTTCTGGGAGAGGGGAATGGAGAGTGGCAACACAGGATTTCTTTCTGGGTAATAAATGCATTTTAGAATTAGGTAGAGGTAATGGCTGACGATATGAATGTGCTAAGTTCCACTGAACTGTATACTTTAAAATGGTTAGTTTTATGGTATGTGAATTTTGCTTCAATTTTAAAAATTCTTGAAATAAAAGCTGGCTGTGAGTTCCTGAAAAAAAAAAAAAAACCCAAAACACCCAAAACCAAAAAACAAAACAAAACAAAACAAAACAACCAATAAATTAAAAATGAGAGATGAGGTTCTAGAGTTATGCTTTTCAATATGGCAGTCTGTGACCACATGTGGCCATTATCACAGGAAGCGAGGCTAGCCCAAACTGAGGGTTGCTGTATGTGCAAAGTGTACAATAGAGTTTGAATCCTTAGTAAGAACAAAAGAATGTAAAGATTCTCATCAATAATATTTAYATTTATTTATAATATTTATATTTATTTATTTTATTTATTTTTAATTTAAAAATATATTTTTTTTGAGACAGTGTCTCCCTAAATTGCCAATGGTCTCAAACTTGAAATCCTCTCTCCTACCTCAACCACCAGAGTAGCTGGGATTGTTGACATGTGCTGCTAAGCCTGGCTGATGATATTTTAATACTGATTGCATATTCAAACTATATATTTGGAATATATTGTGTCCAATAAGACACACTATTAAATTAAAGAACTGAATGCTCAGTTTATCTTCCCCCCTCCCCCATTGCCAGGATTGAACCCAGGGCCTCATGCATACTAGGCAGGTACTCTGCCACTGAGCTACATCACCAGCCCCTACAATGATCTCATTTGAAAGTTGGAAAGAAAATTATAAATTTGATCTTTACTAAAAATATGTTTAAGAAGAGAAAGCTGAAAAAGGGTGACTAAGGAGAAACTCAGAGATCTGATGTCTTGTGAGCCTGGGAAAAAGGGCTGGTCTCGTTGGCAGAAGATTGTTGGGAGCAGCTGGATGTGGTAGCACATGCCTGACTGTAATCCCAGCTACTTGGAAGGCTAAGGCCGGAGGATTACAAGTTCAAAGCCAGCCTCAGCAATTTAGCGAAGCCCTAAGCAACTTAGTGAGAGCCTGTCAAAAAAAAAAAAAAAAAAAAAAAAAAAAATGGGCTGGGGATGTGGCTCAGAGGTTAAGTGACCCTAGGTTCAATCTCTGGTACAAAAAAAAAAAAAAAAAATCGTTATTTAGTATAGACCTTATCTTTAAAAAGATAATTACAAGTAAGAATGCTTTGTAATTAATCTGTGCACAAAAACATCTTTTTGTTTTGCAATTTTTTTTTCCTCCAGATCAGCAACGTCTTGTTTTTCATTTTACCGCCCATCTGCATGTGCTTGTTTCGTCAGTATGCCACATGCTTCAACAGTGGCATCTATTTAATATGGACTCTCCTAGTAGTAGTGGGTAAGTGGATCATGTGGGAACATGAACTGAAAGGGAGGAAATGGGATTCTGCACATTTCCTGTCCCCTTTGAACACAGTGTTTTATAAACCAAAGCCACTGTGACGTCTTAGTAAACTCTTTCACTTGCTTGGCAGCAAAAGTAAGAGTCAGGAGTCTCGAATGCAGGTTTGATAACAAGGCTGGCTGTCGTTATCTCCTGGCTGTGTTTGAGACTTCTTTGTGAATTAGCCATTCATGTTGTGCCAGTGCAATTCTCTGAAGAAAGTTGTGTGAAACAATTGAATTCTGGTGAGACTGTGGTTTCCAATGCACTTAAATTGAAAAACAAAAAACAAAAACAAAAAAACTAGACATTGTGTCCCTCATTGTTTTGTGAAATTCTTGTGCAATTTCCATTTCCTCTCCTAGGCAGGTTGGGAATTCTTAACAGTGAAACAATGTTGACTTTTATTTACTGCCTGTTCCCACAAAGGCTCTGTGGATGAAAACATTGTACTTAACTGTGCAATTATTACTGTTCTGATGTGCTGGTATTTGGGCTATATTTGAAATCCTCTTGCTAGGCTTGAGTGAAGTCTGCATGTGTTGGTGGTATGAGTTTCTTAAGAGATCTGGTGATTCTGATAACAGTTAGGGAAGGGCTATCTTAGGCAGTGAATTGAATTTGTAGTCTGTTCTTCTGTGGTGACCTTTTTTTTTGTTGTTGTTATAATTTGCTATAGGAATTGGATCTGTCTATTTCCATGCAACCCTAAGTTTCCTGGGTCAGATGCTCGATGAGCTTGCAATCCTTTGGGTTCTGATGTGTGCTCTGGCCATGTGGTTCCCCCGAAGGTATCTGCCAAAGATCTTTAGGAATGACAGGTAAGCTTATGTTGAACACTTTTGCTCTTCGCATAGTGTGTGTGCACATCAAGAAAAATAGCTGATGATTGAGCTTAACCTAGTGCTAAAAATCATATATTTGTTTAATGTCCATTGATTTTTATGATCTGACAGTACAATTAAACTGACAGATAAAAGAAGACAAGTTCATAACACTTGGGAAAGAATTTATAAACTGGTAGAGACAAAAAGTCAAATATCTAATACTTGTCTGATACAAGCAACAGTGGAAAGACATTCAATGGGAGAGAAATTTTGGGATAGTAGCTCAAACACCTTTGATTTCCTGCTAGAACTTTTCTTTGAATGCAATCCAGCTCTAGCAGTGCTATACATATAAAGTAGAATCCACGCTGATGATCTGATTCTTGGAGCTATAGAGCTGGTTTTCAAATTGCATTTTTTTGGGGGGGGTTCTGGTCACACACATACACACACAAACACACATACACACACACAGTCATGCATGCACACACACACACATATCTCCAAGCAGGAAACCCAAGAATATCAGGAAGGGGGATGCATTTTAATATCTATTGTATTAAGGCTTTATAATAATAAATAGTAAATATTTATTATTTAATAATAAATAGTAAATATATTTAAACACTTATTTTATACCATGCACTTTTCTAAGTACTGGGAGGTAGCAGTAAACAAAATGACAGGGTTTCTGCTTATAAAGAGCTTGTACTGAAGTTGGGAGTCTATAAATCAACAAATAATGTCATGTTAGAGCGTGAGAAAGGCTGTGTTGAAAAAGCGAGGGTGGTAAGGATGTAGCAATGGCTTGGGGTGCTGACTTCGAGTCTGGTCAGAGAGAGCTCTGCTGAGAAGTTGTGTGAGGTTTGTTACCATCTGCAGGCAGAGGAGGGGCAGGCTAATAAAGATGAGAAATGTCCYCCAAACACATCACCCACATATTACTCTGCATAACGTGGTGGTTTATTGAAATGCATGCAGTCTATGGATAAACAAAATATGGATTAATGAAGCAAGCAGGAAGGTTATGCCAGGAGAACAAAATAATTCATTATAGTTTTTCTGGAACTCTGAAAAGGAGCAGGATCTATGCAGCGATTGAAGACTGAGGCTGTTCCAGTGGGCTGAGGTRGAGGAGTGTCTATGGAATACTAGCTGCAAAGAGCACATTCTAGAATTGTGTGTCAGATATACTAATTTTAGAATGAATGAGTTAAATTCTTCTTGAGTATGTTTTTCTATGTGCACAAACATGTCTGGGAGGATGAGGATGCCGTGCTCCTGCCATTGGCTATTCTTGAGCATTGTGGTAGAGAAGAGCTTCAACTTGCACTTTTATCTTTAATTTGAACTGGCTTGGATTTTTTTTTAAACAAGGAGCACATGTTAATTTTAACACTAAAAATTTCTTTTTAAATGAAGTAGGGAGAAAACACACTTTAAGTGGATTAGCTGTACAGCCTTTATCCTGGAAAGTAGGACTTGAATTACATAGTGTTATCTTTGAGTATCATCTAACAGATAGAAATACCCTCAAGAAGTTTACTTAACAAAAGAAAATGAGGAGGAGAGAAAGTCCTGGTCTTGAATTAAATGTGGTCTCTATCTTGCTGAGGCTTTCTAGTTAGCAGAGAAAGGATGCTTAAGTTTTTGGTTTTTTTTTTTTTTGATGTGTGTGTATGTGTGTGTATATATGTGTGTGTGCTAAGAATAGAACGCATGCACATGCCTTGCACATGCTGAGCATCTATTTAACCACTGAGCTACAGCTCCTGCCCAGAAAGTATGCTTTAAAATGTTGATTTCAGCTATCTCCAATTCCTTGATCTTTGGTTTCTTTGTTCAGCTTTAGGAGAAACCTGGTGAGGGCAGGGGAGTGGGTGTGAGCAGCAGGCAGGGTCAGGAGGTGTTTTCATAGGCAGGAACTTTGTGATTGCCTGAAAAGCAAACCATTTGCCTTTTGGCCCTTCTTACCCTCTCCCAAGGTGCCTTGCCAGTCACAGTGTCCTTTCTTGGAGCCTGGTGCATTCTGCAGTAGATTTAAGTGGTAGGCCAGTAAAAGAATTCATATCAAAAAACCACTTTTCCTTCAGAATTCACCTCAAGTCTAGGGACGCAAGTGAGGAACTGAATGCCGCAGTCTGGCTGGGCACAAAATAACCGAGCCGCCACAAAACCTTGTAGGTTCAAACAGCAACTCTTTATTCCCGAACTCTCACCGGCACTCTACACACACTTCCCGGGAACACACTCCCTTCACCGGGCTCCTTGCGCCAATTCTCCCCAAACTCCTGGGAGAACTCAATGGGAACTCCAAAGTAGCGGGCGCCCGAGGCAGCAGGATCCGTCCTAATCCCTGAGCCGCCCTAATCCCGGAGCAGGGTCACCTTTCAACCATTCCTTCTAGCAAAATGCCAGGCGTCATTCCGACTAAACTGTGCCTCTCAACAACTGAAGAAATGGAAATAAGGGTTTTATTTATTTGTTGCATTCTGGAGACTTGGGTTGAGATTCCCAGTGACAGGTGTTGGGGATGTAGCTCAGTGGTAGATGCTTTCCTCAGGCCCAGTGTGAAGCCTTGGGTTCATTCCTCAGCAACACACAACATACACACCCACACCCCCCCCAAAAAAAAAAAACCCAAGTGACAGCTTTAATTGCGTTAATTATATAAAAAAAGTTTCTTTTTGTTTCTTAGAGGTAGGAGTAGAGGCATGTTGTTATGAACAGGAAAAGAAAATGGGGTAATGCATTGGTTATTAAAGCTTCCTAACTTTAATAATGAAAACATACTACGAGGCAGAGATGTCTGTGGCCATGTGGGATTTTTCTATCACTAGTACGATGTGGCATTTCTCTGGGGAAGAGGTAAAGATATGACTGCTCTGTCCTCATATAGGGAGGGTCCTTTTAAGATGCTGAGTACCACATATGTATGAGTCCATGGCTGGGTACCATTCAGATTTGAATGTCAGCCTTACTGCTTACAAACTATATATCTAGTCTTGACTCTGCTTTTTCATCTGTAATTGTAGGTAATAAATAGTACTTACCTCAGGGTTCTTTGAGATGATCCTGAAGAGCACTTTGTACAGTACTAAGTGACATGGCCAGTACTCAAATTAGCTCTTAATTCTGCCAGTGGTGAACAGAGAAGAGAGTTCGGTCTAGGATTTTTGAGMTATGTGCACAAATGCCATGGAGAATTGCCATGGAGAATTTTTATGAGCAAAGAAAAAATGGTGTATGTTAAGGGAAGAAAATAAGGATTTCAACTCAATTTGTCAGTCTTTACTTTGCCAGTGATGGTCAGACCTTTTTGCATGGGCTTCCTTGCCCATGGAAATGTAGATGTTCTGCAGTAGAATTAAGTGTTAGGTCAGAAAAAGAATTCATATCAAAAGCAGGATTTCTGTAGACCAGGATTGCCTGGGTTGGCTGCCTTAACTTACTAGATAGTTAATATTTATTTACCTGCCTCATTTTTTTTCTAGACTTTGCTGGAATATTCCTAACACATGTAAAGAGTAGTTCCAGCTGGGTGTAATGGTGTAAGCATGTAAATCCAGCTACATGGGAGGCTGAGGCAGAAGGATCCCAAGTTTGAGGCAAGCCTGGGCAACTTAACAAGATTYTGTCTTAGAAGAAAAAGTATAAAAGGGTTGGGGATGTAGCTTAGTAGTAAAGTGCCCCTAGATTCAATTCCGTACTGAGGGGAAAAAAAAAAAGTAGTTCCAGTGTGAGATTTTTAGAGAAGAGGAAGTAGAGTACCGTGGCTAAATGAGTTTGGATCACATAGACAGATATGGCTTTGAATCATAATCCATTTTTCCCTGTAAAACTCTGGTATCTTATTTTGCTCACTGTAAAGTAGAGGTAGTAAAATTAGCTACTTCATGGGATCAGAAATAAATGAGAAAATGAAATGATGTGAATAGTATAGGGGTGCCTCATATGAATAAGAACTCAATAAGTACGAACACTTATTAGCCATTACAAATGGCTGAATAAGTGTCTGGGAAATAAGCATGTTTAGAATAGTAGGTAAATTATTAACATTCATTTTGTCAATAAGATTGGTGGATTAAAAGAAAGGCTTTTTTTTTATCTTGCTTAGCATCTTTAGTATATACACTCAGCTGTTAATGGTTATTAATAATTTTAGATATTTTTGTTTTGAGAAAAAACAAAAATAATTTATCTTGATATGTGCTTTTTTATTATTTGCCTCCATAGAATCTAGGAAAAACTCTCACTTTATAACCCACTTCATTTCTGAATCRTATAGCAAGGGAATAGGCTGAGATCTACCTGTCCTTCTAGTTCAGTTGCCAGATATCCTGGGGCYGGAATCTTAAACTCTCTGGGCCTTACCTCATTGATTTTGAAATGACAGGGTTGCACTTTTTTCTGATATCTCTTCTAGGGTCAAATGCTGTACTACTGTAAATATCAAGGCTTTCTATTATAAATAGGTTATGCTCTATTCCTAACAGGTAGTGGATCCTAACCAGGAATATTTCCTTCTCTTAAGGGACATTTGGGAAGTTTGTGGACATGTATTTGGTGGTCACAATGATGGTAGGTTTTATCATCCATAAATTCCATATTATTTCAGAAGAGCTAAAGGGACACTACCAAATATTTAATATAAAAAAGGACTATGACAGGGTTTGATAGGATTGAAAACCACTGGATTAAGGGTAGCTAATGATTTTAGTCACATATTTGTTATTATAATATTATGATAATGGCACTGGGTAGCCAGATTTTGGTTTGGAGAAAAAAGGAAGAAGAGTACCATGGGTTCTCTGAACTTGTGTTCCAGTGTGAGATCCTATGGGCTGGAAAACTGAAAACAGGACGAAATACTGTTTTACAGTTTAGAAAACACCCTGTCAGGCCCCTCTTCTCTGGAAATTTCTAGTTCTGTTGTCCCAGAGGCCTCTGATAACTTGGGTCTGCTGGGCTATCTGGCTTTCTGTTGGCCACATGACCTCTGTTTACTTTTGCTGGTTGCAGAATTGTGTGTTCACGGGATGTCCTCATTGGCCAGAACATTCCTCCACACTCTMTGGACCTGATGTGTGATATCTGTGGATAGTCTCCTTAAAAACATGTTTCATCAAGCCCAAGCCTTTGAACAATTTGGCAATATTATACAGAGACCCTGGGGATTGCAGCACAGGCTCTGCCAGATTCTTCCTGAGAGTGTGATATTATCAACAAGAATAATATTTTTTAAACAGTATTTGTCCTCAAAATGATGATAAAGAGAATGATAATAGTTGTTTTCTTAATACATAACATGTACCAGGCACTGTTATGTGCTTTCATGCTTACAAGAATACCATGGGTACTAGTGCTTTCATGTTTTTACATGGGAAAGATTTGAAGAGTTGTGGGCTGTAGTTGTAGCTCAGTGGTAGAGCACTTGCTTAGCATGTGTGAGGCACTGGGTTCKATCCTCAGCACCACATAAACATGAATAAATAAAAATAAAGATATTATGTCCATCTGCAACTAAAAAAAAAAAAAAAGACTTGAAAAATTGTTACTTTCTAAAGGCTCCACAGCTACTAAGTGATTAGGGCAGGATTCGAACACCCACATGAAACACCTTGCCTTTTTTTTTTTTTTTAAATATACATATATATTAGTTATATATAGATCTTTATTTTATTTATTTATATGTGGTGCTGAGAATCAAACTCAGTGCCTCACACATGTTAGACAATGTGCTCTACCACTGAGCCACGACCTCAGTCTAACACCTTTGTTTTTAATCACCCTATTCCCCAGTCATACCTGTAACTGAGTCCTAATCATTAGGTGCATTGACTTGATACATTTTGAAAATTTCTGATTATGTGTTTATCCAATCAATAAAAATATTTTWAAAAAAAGTAAAGAAAAAATTTCAGAAAAATTTCAGAAAAACCCAAAGAGACAAAAAGGTGGAAAATGTGTAGGAAAATGTAAAGGATTCAGGCAATGTAGTGAGAAGGTAAATAAATACATGTAAGGAGCATCCCAGAAGGAGAGGAGAAAGAATGGAGCAGAACAAAAAAAAAAAAAAAAAGAAAGAAAGAAAACCCACAAGGCCAAATAGGATGACATGTCAGAACCTCAAACCCAGTGAATGAGTGTGTTTTGTGTCCCCAGGGTCAGGCACATGATGGCTGACCCTGGTGCTACAGAAGGCAGCTTTTCATCCAGTTGCAGAAGAACCCAGCTAAGGCCAGGAGAAAAACATGATTCTTCTGAGGATTTGCTGCCTGGATCTTTTCCAATATGTATTTTTTCCTCTGGTAGAAGTTCAGGGCTATAAGGCGTGTTCATTCCAGTCAGAAAGTTGGCAGCTTGATCAATGATTTCCTGTGCCTTGATGATAAATGGTTTTCCTATTTAAGAGATAAATTTGTATTTTGAATGTTCAATGCCCTTTGATTTCTTTATAATAGAATTTCATTCCAATTAATTTCCTAACCATGACCTCTTCTAAGGCTTTTGGCCAAAGCAAATTCTGCTAATGGGGAATAACAGAAATTTCAGGAAAATCATGTGCTCCTCAATTTAAGTCACAGATGAGGCCTTGGAGATCGTCTGGTCCGGCATTTCCACTTTATAGATCAGGAAATGGGGTCCCCAGGAGGGAGGAAGCAGCGTGTGCAGGATCACGTCGCCACTTCTGACTCTTTTCCACTGGAATGACCTCTGCTGAGGTGTGTGAGGAGCGTATCAATGACTTTTCCAAGATTTGTCATGTCAAGAGCCTGTCAAGCAAATTCTAGTGCCTACCAGATGTGCAGGTTGTCAGTAGATACATATATTTTTAGAATTTTCAGTTTTGTGTGCTAGATATGTAGACTTTTTTTTTTTCATCTTAAAGTAGGAAGCTTTATGGTTTAATAACAGTCTCTGCTTTTTTTCATAAAAGTCCTATATGTTCACTTGGTGGGACAGAGGTTGGTGAGCTATGTCCCGTAGACCAGATGGGTCTTCCTTTTGCAAGTCAAATTTTATTGGCACACAGAAATGGCCATTAATTTACTTATGGTTTGGATATGAAAAAAAAMCCTCCTGTGTTAATATAGGAGGTAAAAGGATTAGACTATGAGAGCCATAACTTAATCAGTGGATTATTGCATTTCATGGCTTAATGTTTTGAATAGATTACTGGATGGTAACTGTAGGGAGGTGGGGGTAGCTGGAGGAAGTGGATCACTTGGAGTGTGCCTTTGGRGTTTATATTTTGTTYCTGGTACTTCAACCGCCCTGTTTCCTGGCTGTCATGGGCTGAGTAGTTTTCCTCTGCAAAAATGTTCTGCCTCACCGGGTCTAGAGCTATGGAGTTAGCCAAACATGGACTGAACCTCTGAAACTGTAAGCCCCAAATAAACTTTTCCTCCTTTAACTTGTACTTGTCAGATATTTTGGTCATAGTGGCACAAAACTAACACACTTACCTTCTATTGTAGCAGAGTTGAATAGTTGTGGCTGAGAACTCATGGCATGTAAAATCAAAAATACTTACTATCTGAACCTTTACAGAGAATATTTGTCAAACCCTGATGCAGAACATCTGAAAATTTATAGGAAATTCACACCAGGAGAATGATTATCCATATCTCACCCCCAGAGACTGAGGTTGATTCTAGCTTTACCATTGTCATGGCTAACAGTTTTGAGAAGCTCTGATTATTTCCCAAGAATAAATTCCTAGAAATGGGATTGCTGATCCAGTGAGTGTGAATGGCTTGCACACGTGGGTACTTTGAACACAAGTTCATTTTAGCTCACATGAATAGCAGTGGCTGTACCTGGCCAACATTAATCAAACAAAATGATCAAGAACTCTTTTGCTAATGGATTTGGTTTTGCTTCCATGGATTTAGGGGCAGATTCAAGGCRGTGGTCTGTGTCCTGTCTGTGGTTACAACGTGCCTGGCGTTTGTCAAGCCTGCCATCAACAACATCTCTTTGATGACTTTGGGGGTTCCTTGTACTGTGCTGCTCATCGCAGAGCTGAAGAGGTGAGTGCCACTATTCCTGCTCACCCCTTGGGCTGTCCCTGTAATGGGAACATTTAGCTCTGTGTTCCTTTGTTTCCTCCAGCTTGGAAGAGAAATGTTCTGTATGAAGAATTAGTTCCTGACTGTTGGATTGGAACAGGTTTGATGCTTTGGTACAAAATGTGAATGATCTCATTTTCAGAAAGAGGGGAGTGGCTGTTTAGTGGATGTCATGCATCCTAATGATCAAAAGCTAGCTTATCAGGGCTGGGATGTAGCTCAGTGGCAAAGCGTCTGCCTTGCATTCGCAAAGCCCTGGGTTTGACCCCCAGTTCCAAAAAAGACAAAAAAAAAAAAAAAAAAGATTAAGTGCCAAGACCAAGCTGTTGACTTAATTCTGTAGAAAGAAGAGTACATTAGTCCATATGACAGGTTTAAGGAGAAAAGAGAAGTAGGGGTCATTGTGTTCACATACACAGGAAGAATAGGAAGGGGGAGGGAAAGTGAYTCTGTGTATACAAGGAAACATAAACTTCGTGAATGGGCTGTGATACTTTCTCAGGCTTAGTGTCTCCAAGGATCAGGCTCATTATTTGCATAAGCATTTTCCTTTGGGAAGTTGTAAAATCCAGGGCACAGGTGGATATCTAAAAACATTTAGTTTAGCACTTGTGTGTACATGATGTTTCTTCTTGCCTCATCTAAAGTACAAGTAATCACTRCCCTTACTTCAATATTTGTTGGAACATTTCTTTTTCTTTGCAGCCACTTTAAAAAAATACACTTTAATTCACACTTTGCTCATTGTTGTAGACATTGAGTTTGTTAACCGAAGTCTCARTCTGTCTCCCTCTGTGCACTAGTTGCTCTGTGCAGTGTGTTTAGTCAGCTTTCTGTCCTTGCTTAGAGAGGAGTTATGTACATTGCTTTCCAATTTCCTGCCTCCAGGGGTTGCTTTGATGGGCTGCAATAACTCAGGGCCTTAGTTGGCTGATGAGGGATTTGAACTTGCTGCCTGGCAGGTAAAGAATGCTGTCAGATCTCTAGTTGGCTTCTTTGAGTTGCCTTCAAGGACTGGCGATGTAAGAGACTCATTTCAGAAGCAGGCTGCAAGTTGATTCTAGAAGAATAACTATGGTAGTGAGTGCTATGAGTGAAAAAACAGATGATTGAGTAAATTACAAAGGATTTAGTCCCTACATCCTAATAACCTTAATTTTAAAAGTCCCCTTTCTGACTGGGGGTATAGCTCAGTGGTAAGTGTGTGCTTAGTGTATGCAAGGCYCTGGGTTGATCCCCAGCACCAAAAATAAATTAAATCAATCAATAAATAATCAACTTTCTATTTCATTAGTGTCATATTGCTTATTAGAAATAGAAGGGTTCTTAGCAACCTCAACTCTGCTTATTCCCTATACTCACTCTACAGTTATTTGAGTCCTAAATAAGTGTCAGCTGTCATGGTTCTTGACAGGAGAGTCTAGGGAACCATTCAGGCAGTATATTTGCAAGTACAGATACTAGCTCTGCTCATGCATTGGTTTTGATTTGGGAGGTCAAGGGTGGAGACTGTTATCTGTAGATTAAAAAGCTCAAAAACCTGGCCAGCTGGGGCTTGGGTGAGGGTAGGAGTGGCCTCCGCCTGTAAGGAGGTAGTCAGGGAAGGTCTCAGCTACTATTAGTATGACTGCTTWATAAGAAAAGTGTTTCTTTTTAGAATGTTAGACATAAATCATTAAATTAGGTTGTGATGATTGTCAAACAACTCTGAATAAATGAAAAGTGAACTATATACTTTAAATGGGTGAATTTTAWAGTATGGGAAACATGGCTGAGTAAAGCCATGGACAAAAATAAAAACAAACAAACAAACAGAAGCTCTTCAGAATGTGCCCTGTGAGTCTGTGTGGTGTTTACTTCAGACTGATCTGAGCTACACATTTCAGGAAGAGGGTGTTTAGCCTTCTGGAGGCAGCACTTTCCCCACTTCTGGGTGGCACACTGGGATCAGATYATAAAGAAACATAAAGAGGAGGAATTTGTGGTCGTCAGTTAATAACTGGCCATCTTACCAACAAATGTAATGCTGAGTAAGTCTGAAGTAACAATACCATCAAGCCCAAGGCCTTTGTTTGGAAGCCCTTTTGCCACTGTTGTGCGTTTGCCTAGAGCTGAGCATATCTGCCCAGTGGCCTTGATGCCTGGCTGAGATCCAGGTTGCTTGCTGTAGCTGTGGGACAAAATGACTTGCTTCCCTGTTTTTAAAGAGTGTCTCTATCTCCATGCCCCTCCTTCTTAGCTACTCATTTTCAAGTGTCTTGTAATATGTCTTCCTTTTCTATCTTTTTTTTTGGGGGGGGGGTGTAATCAGGTACTGAACTCAAGGGCATTCAACCACTGAGCCACATCCCTAGCCCTATTTTGTATCGTATTTAGAGACATAGTCTCACTGAGTTGCTTAGCGCCTTGCTGGTGCTGAGGCTGGCTTTGAACTCACAATCCTCCTGCCTCAGCCTCCTGAACTGAGCTGCTGGGATTAYAGATGAGCACCACTACACCTGGCTCTCTCCCTATTTGAGTCTGAAATGGAAAATTAATATATTGTAGTACTTCCAACAATGCTTGGTGCATAGCACTAAATAAATATAGCTAAACCTGTCATTTGGTGATAATGACTGTTAGCTTTTGTTGTATGCTCTTCCAGCTTTTTTATTCTTTGCCATCTTATCTGTCTTAAAAAAAAAAAATGTACCTGGGCACAGTATAACAGGCTTAGCTACTTAAGAGGCTAAAGCAGGAGGATCACAAGTTCCAGGCCAGCCTGGGCAACTTGGATCCTGGATTCAAAATCAAAAGGGATGGGGATGTAAATCCCTCTGTGTTCAGCTGTCATTTCTGCGTGATTCTCTGCAGTCCATCTTCATCTTTTTTTTCTGAAGTCCTTTCTCCTGATTCCAGCTACCTGCTGGGTAGCCTCAGTTAGACTCCTGTTTCCTGCACTGCTTTTCATGATTCATTGCTTGGCACTGTGCCCTGACTGCTCTGCCTATCTCCTCACTATGCTTCTTGTTACCAATATTAGTTAGCTTTTCATCACTGTGACTAAAATACCCAACAAGAACAACTTAGAGGCGTTTATTTTGGACCACGGTTTTTAGAGATTTAGTCTGATTTGGTGGGTCAGCTCCATTGCCCGGAGCCTGAGGTGAGGCAGAGCCTCAAGGTGGAAGGGTRTGGTGGAGGAGTGCTGCTAGGCTCAAGGTGGCCAGGAAGCCAGAGTGGGAGGGGCCACAGGGAAGAGATATCCTTCAAGGGCACACCTGAGTGACCCACCTCCTCCAGCCAGGCCCCACCTGCCTACTGTTACTACCCAGTCAGACATTCAAACTAGGATGGACTGATTTGGTTACAGGTCTCAGAATACATAATTTCAACTCTGAATATTCCTGCATCAACACGGGAGCTTTGGGGGAGCATCTCATTCAAGCCATAACATCACCCTTCCCAAATCCCATTTAAWAGTTCCCCGAATTATTTCAATGCTCACTATTTTCCAGTCCTGTAGACTTGAAAATTGGGTTCCCTAGTCTCCTGCCACCTCAAACCACTAAACTTGATGGAATCTTCTTCAGTGTCTCATCTGTCAGTCCCCTCCCTGCCATTCCTATTGTCCCACCCTCCCACCTCTCCAGTGGCCCCTGCATTTGTGTTGTAATAGCTCTTTTCTTCCTCCAGTTCTCTATCTTAAGAGGGGTCTTTTTCATGGCACTCTCTCATTGGTACAAAAGTCTTCAATGGCTTTGTATTGTTCAAGTTTCCCTTAGGGCCTATTCTGCCTCTGGCTCCTTATATATGCCCCATGGCCAACCAGTCTGAATAGGTTCCTTGCTTTCTTGCCTTTAGATTCCCCTCATATTTTCTTCTCCCTCTGTTTTTTTTTTTTAATATATTTTTTATTTTTTAGGTGTAGATGGACATAACACAATGCCTTTACTTGTATGTGGTGGATCAAACCCGGTCCTGCCTGTGCTAGGCGAGCCCCCTACCGCTGAGCCACAATCCCAGCCCCTATTCTTCCTCTGGAATGCCCTTCCCCCCTACTACTATGCAGAACCTCCTACCCTGCAGCCAGCTCCTTCCTGAGGCCTCTCTGGATTCCTCTCCTCAGCCWGATGTGATTGTTCTCTTCCTAAACTCTTGGTGCTTTTATATAGTGTTTAGAATATTCTACTTTCCTTCTCTTCTTCCTCTCTGATGTTGTGTTGTCCCAAGGTAGAAATTATGCTTTGTAACTCTGTGAATTTTCCAGAGTGCCCATTACTCTGAAAATTTTAAAGATTGCATTTTAGCTTGCTAGGAAGCATTAACTTCTCATTACAGAATCCATCCCTTCAGTGGAAAGTACAGAAGGAACATGGGTTTGGGGGCTAGAGAGCTTAGTTTGAGTCTCGGTTCTGGAAATTCTGGGCATTTACTTCACGTACTTTGGTCATACTGGCACTATTGATATGGAGGATAATAATGTTTAGGTCTCAGTGAGACCTAAATAAGCCCTGTTTAGTCTAATATCTGTAACATGGTAGTTATGTAACAAACACTGGTTGCCTTTTCTTTTGCTTGGCTGTATGTTTCAGCAAGGGGAGCTCAATTAACTTAAAGAGAAATATCCTTCTCTTCTTATTTATTAAGATCTTTTAGCAATCCTACTTTTATTATTAAGGAATTCTCCCTACTGTCCCTGGGGTAGAGATGTTAGTTAAGTGGCTTTTTCTGGTGGACTGTGAGTAAACTGGCTCCTGAGGTACCTTCCTCTAGCCAGCCCTGGATATGAACGGATCTTGAAAACACGTGATTAAATTGCTAGTGAAGGCATTTGAAGTGGATTTTCATTTGTACCTTTTGGCCCAGTAGTTGCTGGCTTATATGGGACCCAAAGTGAATAGAATGTTCTGGATTTAGCTGTGTGTCTTGAGAATTCATCTCAACATAGTTTCATTTTAACTTTTGAGTCTTCACAGTAT